GTTGGACGCGTCCTGACTTTCGGATACGGGTGTGACCGCAGTGGTGGCCGGAAACCGTTGGTTGTGGACTGATTACCATCCTCGTGTATACTTATGTATACCGGCGCGATACAACATGGCAAAATGTTAAGGACTTCAACACGTATTACACATATTTTCGCCAGTCGGCGGTTTCTCGTGCGTTTTCATTTTTCCGATTGGGTAAGTAACAGCTTATGATTTTCCATTATCAACGTGTTGGACGGTAAAGCAAGTGTTGAAAACACTCGGAGAAAAAGAAGTACGCCGTAAAATACCAGTGGAGTCGAAATCTTTTGATCGGTGCCAGAACGTTCATCGTTTATCATTGTCCATTTGCGTATTGTTGGCATTTAAAAATGTACCAGTGCTATCACACCCACCATGTTCATTCGACTTGACTTGCTACAACTTATTTTTGTTTCCGAGACTAAAAACTACCCGCAAAGGGTTCATAGGTTTATACGATTTTTTTTATTAATTTTTTTATTTATTAATTATTTAGTAATGCGACGGAGGAACTAAAATTTATAACTTTGGAAAAAACATAGAGATTTATTCATAAGTAGCTGCGTGAAAATACACTACTTTGAAGGCGATCAATTAAAAATATTCTGTAACTTTTAAATGAAATGTATAATAAAATATGAACTCCGGGTATTTATTGAACACAACCCGTATATTAAGTGATAGTTTAAGCCGCATTCAAAACTATATGTATAGGTAAAAGGGTGTTCGCGTAGCATACGAGTATATACGATATGTATATACTCGTAGGTATGATGAAGTAATTTAATTTTTATATCATAAATCATAATTCATTATTTTTGTTAACTATATTATATTTTATGCAACCAAAAAAATCGTTTATCAACATAAAGCTTTAAAATAAGATTCCAAGGAATTCTCAAAATCCTCGAGACATTGGCGCAATTCATCCCTGTATAACACACAGTGTATCCGTCAATCGATTATTGTAAAATAGTTAACAATCATCACAATTTTGGTAAAACTAAATTAGTAGTTGTGCTTCGCAAATGCGGTCAACATCTAATTCCTTATTCATACAAGTATATTCAAACCTACACGATCGTCCAACGCTTTTTCGACAAACCTTCTGGGAATCTAATTAACATAGTTATGTTTGATATAAAATGGGTAATATGTGCAAGAACGTTTCTGACTCTTGTTTTCAAAACGTAATCATGAAAAATATAAACTAGTCAGACGGAATTTGTGCACCGATTTTTAAACATTCATATTGTATACTGCCATATTTACAGTGGCGTAGACATGATTTCTGAAAGGGGGGGATCAAAAAAAAGAAAACGACATAACTAAATAAGATGGAAAAATTCTCCCGAATACTCCCGTGTCTTAGTCTGCAGGTTTGGCGAGTTTAAGCCGCTCGAAGCTTGCGCAAATGTACTACTACGACAAATGATGTCAGAGTGAATTAAAAATAGGCATTTGTGCGTGTGCGTTGCTTTTCTTGGGTAAGCATCTGTTAGTTTTTATTTTTCGAACAACATACGTTGACGGTGGATTGTTTGCTTTAAAATATGTAAAACCGTTAAGGTGATTTCCAGCGCATAATCCATGCATGCAATAATTATTGATTTAATATGCTATCTGAAAGTTACACTACACGCCCTCGTTAAATGTATCACTATTTTTGAAATGAAAATAAAAACTTCTAATAGTAATATTGTCTTATGGGTTATATAAACAGACGCAACACGGGGTTATTAACTAATTAACTTAAACTGAAGTTGAGAACGCTGTTGGGTTAAAATAGGTGTCCATATGGATACACATGAGTTGCTATTTCAATAATATATTTCAATACAAATAATAAATTAGGTAGTAGCCGAATGTACCCATATGATGACACCATAAAAGATATGAAATTTCACATATATTATGTGATGTCACGCTACATTCCAGATTGAATATAATTAATTATATTATAATAATATATAATAATATAATTTAATAGTTTTTTAATTACCTTTGACAATAGTACCGTTGATATACGTAATATCAAATACACACCAAGCAACTATCAATGGATAATAACGATATCGAATGTACCTCTGAATCAATGAAGGAATAAGTATAGTAAAATCACTAGACGTCAATTATTGATGTTCAACAATAGTTCAATTTTATTTATCGTAAAGTATTTAATTAATTTCTAACTATATCAATGACTCAAGTATAAATTTATAAAATAAAACTTATGAGAGAACATACGATTCATTTTGATAATTAACTCTGAAGTCATTCCAATATAATTATTTTATACGATTATACTCCTATACTTATCGTTAATTGATTAATGATGTAGTAGTCACGCACATATTCTAAGTACATCAAAACTATAGTACTTCCATGTAAATATTATAAACAAGAACAAATTGAATGCACCTAAATGCGATTTTATTTTATAAACAGTTGATCAGTCTTATTTTAATTCGATTAATCGATCAATCGATCGTCTGCAGAAAAAAAAAAATAAAAACAAAAATTAATTATTCTTACTGGAAATTGTTCAAAAGAGACAAGACCATAAAAAGGTTGAAGTAATAAAACAATATGAGTATAAATTAGATAACACTATTATTCACGGTTAATAAATATAATCATTGACGAAAATAAATTTGAAATGGACAGTAAAACTGATAGTAGAGGCGGTTCTACTTTGAGAATATATGACGACAAGCAATTTAAAACAAAACCGTTTCCGTATGTGTATTATTTACTGAATAGGCACATTTTCTATTATGCAGTATAGGACATGCAGTCAACACATTTTTAGCTTCCAAATGTTTTTTTTACATTATTGTTGGAAGAATAAAAAATAAAATAAAATTATAAATGAAAATTTTATACTTGGATTGTTTTTATTTACTAAAATCTAACAATGATATTATTTAAACAAGCATACTGTAATTATTTATAAACTTAATTTTTCAATATTTCAGCTTTGTTTAGTGGAAATCCATGTCGTTGCATTAGATATTATATAAAATACAATATTAGAAGAAAAATTGAATTTTTAATTGACTAAGGCCTAATGTTTTTATTTATACTTATCTGATTATATTTTTTGCGAAACATTTACTTATATTTGAATTATGAAATGCCACACAATTTACAATACAAATGTTATCGTCTACTGTTTTTTTTTTTTTTTTTTTTTGGTAGTAATATTATTTAATTCTTAAGCCTTAGATCATTTATACGAGTATTATAACTAATAACAGTGATTAGAATTAAGATAATTAAAGATTTTTGAAAACAGCAAATAATAATCTTTTTAAAAGCAATTGTTTAAATTTCGACTACTATTTATACTATGTTATATATACATGAGTATTATGATATTTATAAAAGTATTTTTTAATTTTTTTTTAAATAGCAAATATAATTGATTCAAGGTCAATTATACATTTTGGTAGAGGAAGAGAAAATAAATTTAGTGATTATCATAAATGTAATTTGTGTTGTAGACATGGAAGATATATTGTCTTACTATCAAAAATGATACACAAATTTATTTTACAAAAATATTGCGACTCTGGCTAGATAAAAAAACATATTAATAAACAGAGATGTCAAAGTAAACGTGGACAACAATTATAAAGTTTGAGTGTAAGTGTTTAGGCATGTGTAATTAAGGAGATTATTTACTTATTTATTTAGACCAGTGATCGACAACCTTTTTGGACTCTTAGGCTACATTCAAAAATTAAAAAGGATTCAAGGGTCAAACAATACAAAGAATTGATATGGTATTCAATGAAATTTCCTACTTTCAGAATTTAATATAAAAGAGAAGTGCGGGCCATCGATTGACGACCATTGCTGTAGACTAACAACTTTGATAGTTCATAAAGGAGATGTAAGGAATACATTCAACGTAGCAATCGAAATAACTTAGGTAATCGTAATCAACCGGGATTAAATCGATTCGTGCGAGTTATTTTTTCGTTTTCGAAATCATTTGGAATTATATTAATTGGAAAATAAACCAAAAAATAAAGATTTTCCACAGTAAAGAAACGTAGACATTATCACGTACTCATGTTTTGCACAAAACGCAAACGAGTGAAATAAATCGTTTATCTAACCGGCAAAACAACGATTAACTTATTATAGAAAAATCATTGTCGAATAAAATGCACTCAATGAACACCCACGTGCCAGTCATTTGCCACCGTCACCGCCGCCGACGATGAACGTGACACCCGGCGTGACGTTTCGGAAATTATTTTGGATTAACTCTCGATCCTCGTAGTAATACTGGAACCAACATACATGAGTCAGCCGATTAGTGTTATCAGATCATGCCTACCGTGCAGTAGTAGTATTAAATTATTACAATTATTATTATTATTAGTAGTAGTAGTAGTAGTAGTATTAGTATGGCAGAATTAATAGTGGTTCTTATTATTAGTATTACATTGAAGTAATATTAATAATATTATTATAATTAAAAATTAAAAAAAACTTCATATCAAAAAGTATAGTTTGAGTTGTACCGTTGTAATAGCTATAGCTAAGGCCATAGATGTAACTAGACCGTATTTTTTAAGATTTGTCCAATAGAATATTACGATAAAGGAAAATCCCCGCCAAGAGATTTTGAGCAAAAATAAGAAAATAACGATAACGCGTTCAGATTCAAAAATTCAAAAACACCAAGCATTTTGTTGGAGACGATAAAACCGCAGTTGCGTAGGGTCAACGGTGATATTTCGCCATACGATTTCAACGGGAAACAGAGATGAACGATCCGCTTACTAGCAATTCAGGCATGTTGCCGCATGTTTTCATCCGTAAGCAGTTATGCATATAGTACGGTATACTTTCAGTACAATGCGAAAAATAATAATATAATCTTTATCGGTAGAAAGAGTGTCGAGTGTTAGCAGCATAAATATAATGTAGTACTGAGAACGATAACGAGACGATACCTGTGAATTCTGGACGATCTCTTGGTCACGGAGTGCTGACGGGACGGCTGCCACGCGCCGGCCACCATCATCTCCCTTTCGGTAACGGCCGAACAGCTTCTCCTGGCCGGCACTACGCGCCTCCTCACGCAGGACTGCTGTTGCAAAGACACCGCGGCCGTATCCGTTGCCGCCGCGGTCGCGGTCATGGTGGACCGCCGCCTCCGGCGGTCGCGCATCTGTTCGCAGCCGCGGCCGCCGCTGTCGTCGTCGTCTCCGTCCATGGAACGCGCGGTTCGCGTGGCCGTCGTACGATCACTGCGGATCGGTGCCGCGGTCCATCGAAGCGGTCACTCGGAACGCGGGGTGCCGACCGCAGCGGCGGCGGTCCCGTCACAGGTGTCGGCAACGGCGACGGCGGCAAAAGCGACCGGTGCGACGGAGATCTCGACAGCCCGAGTCACGTAGCGATGCCGGCCGGTTGAAGTCGCGTTCGCCGCAGCAAAGTCCACGGCCTTTGTCGCGGACGCGGGCGCACGGCTGAAACGGTCGACGATATTATAATACCAAAAGCGCGCAAAACAGAGAGAGTGAGAGAGAGAGAGAGAGAGAGAGAGAGAGAGAGAGAGAGAGAGAGTGAGTGAGAGAGTGAGTGGTGTGAGAGAATGAGAGAGATAGAGAGAGCGAGCGAGAAATACAGGAAAGAAGAGCGCGCGACGTACGTACGGCACACGTGCGCGCGGTGGAAACCGTCTGCGCGCAGGTTTCGAGAGATCCGTCGTCGGCGGAAATCGGCACGCCGCGCGACCCGGGGAGAAAGGCGGTTTCTCGCGGTTGACCCCGTTGACCGGTTTTCGTTGTTACTACTACTACTACTACTGCTGCTTTTATTACAATTACAATTATTGTTGTTTTATTATTATTTTTTTTTTTCGTACGACGTTCACGACGCGTTTTCGATAGCTGCTGTATTATGTAACGTTCGTGTTCGTGCACGCGCGTGCGGCGTCACGGGACGGACTGTTCTCTAAATCGCCGCCACCGTCGCCGCCGCGATAACCTCGTGACCATCGTCCGCGAGCGTAATAATATTATTGTTGTTGTTGTTGTTGTTGTTGTTGTTGTTGCTGCTGTTGCTGTAGCGACAGCTGTTGGCGGGGAGTATAAGTGGTGCCCGTCATGGCCCGTTAACAAGGAAAACGGCGAAAATAATAATAAATATTATTAATAATTATCGTTGTATCGTATCCGTTGGTCGCGCGCAATAGAACGACAGAAGGAGGCGCCGGGGACGCTGTAAAATCGCACGCGATGCGCTCTGAACCGCTTCCAAAAAACGATCTACTACATATTTGTTTTTAGCGATCCGCGCACGAACAGCCGCCGTGCGCGCGTACGATACAACGCGTACGCGTTTGTCGTTCGCATAATGTTCAAATGTCATATTGATCATAGTCGATGGACTATAATATTGTCCCGGGAGACGACGGATCGAAAAGCGACCGGTTGTTTTAGTTCGTTCTCGTTGCTAACACGACTCGAGTGATCACTGGGAATACTCGTAAAAACGTTAACAAGTGTTTCCGTAAGACGGTAGGCGTGTAGCGTACAGTGGTGCGACTCGTTTCCTTTTGAAAACAATTGGAGTCACGAATTCGCGTACCTACCCGGTTTAGCGTTGCAACAGCGACGATCGCGACTCGACGGTTGATTGCGATTTGAAGGAGCGTTAGCGCATCGGTTTTATGATTTATTTTGTTCGTAAATAATCGTCCATCGTCTAGTCCGAACGGCGGGAAGAAACCGCGGAACAAGACGAACGATAGTCATCGAAACGTTATCGTCCAGATTACGTAAAACAAAACATATGTTCGGAGGACACGAAAAATATAGGTAATTATCAAAGGGAATAAAACGGAAAGTTCATATCGATGGGTTATTTTCGTCCGCGTAAAAATAGACGAACACCGCGTCGGTTGAACGTACACGCACGTCGCGGTATAATAATCGACGGTTTTCGAACGAATTAAAAACTGAATACAAAACCTTTTACGCCGATCGAGGAAAATGTGTACGGTGCTGTCGAGACGCGGTCGGGGGATTGGACGAATCAATGACGGTAGGATCACAGTCCACTACAACCCCGTGACACTGCGAAACGAAGACGAGCGAATCCGAATAAATCGTCGTCGTCGCGCGTTCGCGGTCGGTCGATTAACCGTTCGCACCACTCACCTCGGGTACAGCGGCCATGGATGGACGCGCGAAGACGATGCTACGGTAACGTCATTGTCGCGACGTCCCGGATACGGTGGTCGGCGCGAAACCGGTGCGCCGCGGCGCGGGCGCAACGCGCACGCGCGACACGTGCGAGCGGGACCGTCCGTTGGCGCGGTTTTCCGGTACGCCGATACCGGTGACGGACCCGCAGTGGAGGGGTACGGCCGGACGGACGAGCTTTACCGCCGCGGAGACGGCACGCCGGCGCGACAACGGAAACGCACGGTGGCGGCCAGCAGCGTTCCAGCAGCGCGGCGGTGACGACGGTACGGAACGCGTTGATTGGGCGCGCGTCGTCGATACCGGTTACGCGCGCGACGAGCGAACGGGAGCGAGGCTAGTGGAGCGAGAGCGAGAAACGGCGATAACCAAAAGGCGCGGCGGCACGACTGCCGGACGACGGACTGCTGTTGCACACCACGGACGCTACACGGCGCGGCGGCGGCGGCGGCGGCGGCGGCGGCTTGGTCGTCGGTGATCTTTCACCGCCTCGGAACGTTCAACGCACGCGCACACGGCCGGCAGCA